GGTGTAATGGTTTTTCTACTGTACAGACCGTATATTCTATTGCCCTACACCAACCCTACCCCTAAACCTACCCCTTACAGGAAACTTTGTACATTTTTAGATTTTCAAAAAACCTCATTCTGTATGATTTATAAGCTTTTGTACCCGTAGGGACCACAATTTAGGTCCCCATCGTGACACGAGTCCCCATGAGTCTGTGTGTAGTCAGGTTTAAGTCCCCACCAGGATATGTAAACCAGTACACACACACACACACACACACACACAGAGTGCCTTGCAAAAGTATTCAAATTATAAATGGTACACTGAAATTTCATTCTGATGGATATTTTATTTGAAAACACTGAAACTCAAAATCAATTATTGGAAGGTGACATTGTGTTTTTGTCAGGAACTATGTTTAGGAAAAATAAAAATAAGTATCTTGCTTGCATAAGTATTCAATGGAAGCTGCCAGGTTATAAAGATGAAATAAATGTCCTTAACAAGAACACAATTACTTTACCATTGGCATCCTCCTGTGAGTAGTTAAACAAGCAATCACTATTTCGGGATGAATAACCCACCGTTAAAGGATCAGTGGCCAGGCTGTGTATGTGAAGGAAAAAGAAGACCCAACAGCATTCCACAGATGTTAGAAATAAAATAATAAAAATGTATAGATTAGGGAAAGGGTACAAAATAATATCCAAATGTTTAGATATCCCAGTCAGCACAGTTGGATCAATAATCAGGAAGTGGAAGGTTCACCACACCACCCAGTCACTGCCAAGAAAAGTCTGTCCCTCAAAACTCAGCATTTGAACAAAAAAAGAAGGCTTGTGAGAAAAGCCACTGAGAGGCCCACGATCACGTTGAAAGAGTCACAAAGTTCAACTGCTGCAAGTGGAGAAATGGTGTACCAGTCAACCATATCAAAAGCACTGCATAATTCTGGCCTGCATGGGAGGGTGGCAAGAAAGAAGCCGTTACTCAAAAAATACCATCTGAAAGCATGTCTGGATTTTGCCAAAAAGCATGAGAGTGACCCAGCTGCAATTTGTGGTCAGATAAGACCAAGATAGAGCTTTTTTTGTCCAAAACTCAAAGCGCTATGTGTAGCGCAAACCTAACACTTCTTATGCCTCAAAACACCATCCCTACAGTGAAGTGTGGTGGTGGCAGCATCATGCTGTGGGGATGCTTCTCATCATCAGGGACCGTGCATCTTGTTAGAATTGAAGGAAGAATGGTTAGAGCAAAATATAGGGAAATACTACAAAATAATCTGCTTCAGTCTGCTAAAAAATTAAGCTTTGGAAGAAATTCTATTCTTGAGTTGTTATAGTTGTTATAGTTATTAAAACTCAACGGGCTCAGCGGAGGCGAGAGAGACACAGATACCCACTGTAATTTTACCTTCTGGTGTCGCTGTTGGACAATGTTTGACAAGGTGTTTTATTTTTGTACTACAAAATTTTTTCTCATCCAAAATTTTGAGGAGGCACTGCCTTATTTCCCTCCTCGGAGAAACTGCAACATATATATATATATATTTATATATATGTTTATTTATTGAGTTGCATATAAAATTTCCACTCTTTTGGATTACACAGTTTTAACACAAATTAATAAGCTTAATGTGATGCATCATGTATATAAGTAACAAGTACAATTTTTGCAATCAAACAAATCATGGCATAATTTATTATTCATATTTACATCTTTTTGATTATTCATATTTTCAAAATGTATTTATTCACATTCTGTAGAATCAGAATAAATGTGTTCATTGTGAAAACAATTACATTAATTCAGTTAAAAAGTATGAGCATATGGCTGTAAAACAAACAATATTCGATGTGTGGGATTGAAACAAATTTGATTTATTGATGGATAAATATATAAACCTGGTTGTTGTGTGATTAAAGCAGTCAGTTTGTTAATGCAATTACAGAAATTGTGAATTATATATATATATACATATACACAATTTATGTATATATGTATTTATTTATTTATGGATGGATGGATGGATGGATTGATTGATTTATGTTAAACCTGTGTAATCCATATGCATGGAAATTGTATAGTAATTAAAAAAATTGTAAGGAACAAGTATTGGATTTCATTTAGCAAATCATTCAGCTATGGTATTCATATTATTTGTATTTTTTTAAATATTATAGAAAACTGCTCTTTCTTAAGCTCAGAAAACAAAAGTCATGTTTAATTTGAATGTGAAGTTTGTCTCAGATTTTTATATAGTTCACTGGGAGTAAAAATTGCAGAAATGACTGTCATGCAGTAAGATTATAAAGAAGAGTTGTAAAATGATGTCTGCCCTGCATTCAGACTTTGATGATATTGATTAATTATATAACATTAACACTGTTATTTTTCTTGTTTATCACTGAGAAGCTGTTTGGAAACAATCTGTATTGTATAAAGTGCTATATATATTTAAAAATGTGACTTGACTGTGTTTCTCTCTTTCTGTTATAGCGGTGCTTCAGGTGTCAATATCACTCAATAAAGTGGAACTGAGTGTTGGAGAGTCTAAATTCTTCACATGCACAGGTAAGAATGAAACCCGGCTGGACGTGACAAATTAACACACTTGACACATCAGTACATGATTTTCTGATGATTGTGGCCTAAACTTTGCAGTACATTATCTTAAAATAAATACACTACTATTCAAGAGTTTGGGGTCAGTAAAAATCTAAATGTTTCTGAAAGAAGTATCTTCTGCTCAACAAGTTTGTATTTTATTTTATTAAAAAATACAGTAAAAAAAATGAAATATTATTACAATTCAAAATATGTTCTCTATGTGAGTATATTATAAAATGAAACTTATTCCTGTGGTGCAATCTGAATTTTCAGCCTCATTACTCCAGTCTTCAGTGTCATATGATCCTTCAGAAATAATTCTGTGTGGGTCCTAATGCCCCAGTGTAGTGACGGGGACACTATACTGTCAACAAGCACCTTCCTTCGGATGAGACGTTAAACCGAGGTCCTGACACTCTGTGGTCATTAAAAATCCCAGGATGTCTTTCGAAAAGAGTAGAGGTGTGACCTCGGCATCCTGACCAATTTTGCCCATTGGCCTCTGATCATCATGGCCTCCTAACAATCCCCGTATCTACTGATTGGCTTCATCACTCGGTCTCCTCTTCACCAGTAAGCTAGTGTGTGGTGGGCGTTTTGGCGCACTATGGCTGCCGTCGCAACATCCAGGTGGATGCTGCACACTGGTGGTGGATGAGGAGATACCCCCTGACAGTGTAAAATGCTTTGAGTGCCTAGAAAAGTGCTATATAAATGTAATGAATTGTAGCATCTGTGTGTAATAATACACACTATATATTCTCTTTTTATATGACAAATACTCTGTAACCTCAGTTAACAAGCTGCTCAAGAAACATTTCATTTATCAATGTTGAAAGCCGTGATACTGTCATGGGCGTGTGGAACAGACTGATGATGAGGCAGAAGAGAAAAGTTCCAACACAAGTTTAATAATAATCCACACGAGAATAATCCAAACTGTCAGTACAACCCCTGGCAAAAAATATGGAATCACCACACTTAGAAGTTTCTTAGAAGAAATTGTTTTACTTTATAACAAATAAACAAATCATAGATATGATACAAAACAATTTTTATTTAATAATTCAACACTCTGGTTATGTGAAACATACCTCAAATAAATGAGATTACAATATTTTAATTAATGGAAAATTATTTTCCATATCAAGTAGAGGAACAAATTATGGAATCATTCAATGTTGAGGGGAAAAAAAATTAATCAACTTTAGCATTTCTGAAACAAATACCGCCACATATCTAAAATGGTAATGGTCAGCAGTTAAAAGAGAGTACTTACAGACGTTAACAAGCTGTTGGACTTGGTTAATAGTGTAGCAAATTAACTCAAAAGGGAAATATTTATAATTAATTATAACTGGTTATAATTATTAAAACATATTTAGATTAGATCTTAGAATTAAGATAGTTCTAATGAGTTCTATTGCAGGTTTGCACCCCACACCCGCCCTGAACACCTCTCCACACAACCATTCACACCTCCAGCAACCCCCCTTTGGACCCTTGCTGGATCCTCTTACAGAGCAAACAGGTCTGTGGACGATGCAGTCAACATGGGACTGCATTATGTTCTGCAACATCTAGACAGACCAGGGACTTATGTGAGGATCCTGTTTGTGGACTTCAGCTCGGCCTTTAACACTATCCTCCCAAACCTCCTCCTGCCCAAACTAACTCAGCTCTCCATGCCCACCTCCGTCTGTCAGTGGATCAACAGCTTCCTGACAGACAGGCAGCAGCTAGTGAGGCTGGGAAAACTCACATCCAGCACCCGTATAATCAGCACTGGAGCTCCTCTGGGTTGTGTTCTCTCCCCCCTACTCTTCTCCCTCTACACCAACAACTGCACCTCTAACTGCACCTCTGTTTGCAGATGACACCACACTCATCGGCCTCATTCAGGACGGCGAGGAGTCTGCTTCTGAACAACCTGGAGATCAACACGCTCAAAACTGTGGAGATGACTGTGGACTTCAGGAGGAACCCCCCTGCTCTCCCTCCACTCACCATTATGGACAGCACTGGGACTGCAGTGGAGTCATTCAGGTTCCTGGGCACCACTGTCTCTCAGGACCTGAAGTGGGACACTCACATTGACTCCATTGTG